GCTGTCACCGCCTCCGTTGTCAGAGAGGTCGCCAGCAAGGTCAACGTGCCGCTGCAGGTAAATTGAGAACTGAGTGATGGCATTTGTGTGATTGCAGAAGACTGTTTGCAGTAAAAGTTAAGAAATTAAAACGGCGGCGTTTATGTCACTGTAAATCATGAAGAACTCATCTTCTTTTCTGTGATATCAGTATTTATGTAAAAGCACATTTCCAGATTTTTCCAGATGTTTACATGTTATGTCCTGGAATTAGTTGCAAAGATCCAGCTTCTCCAGTTCCAGTACTGATACCAATGGATACTAGTGTTACGTTAATAAGCTGTATTCCTCACTGTGAAGAAGAGACTATGTGGCAGCATCAGGTTCGATTTAAACAATAAAATAAAATGTGACAAATGGACCCAAGACTGTCATTTTATTAAAGTGGAATGTATTTGTAAAATAATAAGACAAAAGGACCGAGTTTAAATTGTGTCTTTAGGCAATCTGTTACTAGCAGCCTGTCACAAAAGCACATCATTTGTTCTCCTTTCTTTATTTGAATCTATGAAATACCAAAATTAACACAGTTTGACAGACATAAAATAATATTTTTGTACCAACAAGGTGATTCCTAAAGAGCTATTAGCTGAAAACTTGACATATAAGTACACACTAAAAAAAAATCTGAGGAAACTGGAGAATTGGAGGACAAAAGAAGACTTGGCAGGAATATAAAACTATCGATTACTTAAAGAAATGACAAGAAATCTTGAGTAAGAGAGTTCAGACTGTGCTGAAGAATAAAGGTGGTCACACCAAATTTATTTACACTATTCTCATTTCAATTCATGAGCGTTATTACTGCACTTTGTTGTTATGTGTGTATATATATATATATATATATATATATATATATATATTAGTGTAACTCGTTTCACCTTTCCTTGCTCCTAGACCTGCAGTGCCTCTTAATACCCACTAGAGGCAGTTTTTATTTTTACTCTAACTTAATAGTCTGAGAGTTCCTGTTGGTCTTCTTGTAGGACGTGATGGTCCGTAACGACAGCCCCTGTGGAACCACCATCGGTCCCATCCTGGCGGCCCGTCTCGGCATCCCCGTGGCGGACATCGGCTCCCCGCAGCTCTCCATGCACTCCATCAGGGAGATGTGCTGTACATCCAGTGTCCTACAGAGCACCACCCTTTTCAAGGTAATAGCTCAAATTAGGTGTGAATTATGTAGAGCTAATTAATAGACCAGCTGGTTTTACTTTTGAATTCACACACATAATAGCTTCATAAAGTTTGGATTTCCTGCTAGAGCTGACAGCTTCATCAGCAGTTTGATCCAAACATCCTCTGTTGCTTAGGTAAGATTTGTGTGTCTCCCCTAATTCATGTCCTTGTAAATTTGTTTTCTATAAAGGACGTGATTAATGAAGTATAAATACCAAAAGTGATGGTTACATGGTAAAACACAACTGACTTTAATTGTTCTTATCATTGTTTAAGTACTTTGTCGTAAGTCTGCAGCTACTTTTGAAAGTTGCTTAAATAACACTTTAACATATTTTATTAAATTGATTTAAACCTTTTTTTATTAATTATGCCATGTTTTATTTGCTGTTGTTTATTTGAGTTTGGAAAAGTGCTGTATGCAAATTTTTTTATCTTTCTGTCTGTTCAAACCAAAGCTCTCAATCTGGGGGCTGTTCAGTCATTTTTAAGCCTGTATAAGCCAATTGTTGAACATTTTATAAACTTACATTCCTCTTTGCATTGTTAATATTTTGAGAACCTCCATGGTGCTTTACTAATGTATTTCTACTTGTCAACTCCTAAATTACTGAGGAAAAATAGTCATGAGCGCCTGAGCTGTCAACGAAATATCCGTTTGTCACAGTTCTAGTCAGAATATGTCAGGTTTGAACCGTCCAGCTGTGGCATAAGAATCAAATTAAGTGATCTCATTGCTGGCATTTGACCGAGTTTTTTTTAGGTTATATTTTTACCTGTTATTGTGCTTTTTCATCTACTTTAAAAAATCTTAGTGATATTAAACTTTGCTGTCACTTCCTGTTTTCTGCTTCTTCTCGCTTCTGCAGGGTTTCTTCGAGTTGTTTCCCACCGTGAGGAGCACGCTGGTCGTTGACTAGAGCTGGGACAGCCACAGCTGATCTTGAATAAAGGATTATACAGACATGTCATTGTCAGTGAACCACTGCATTATTTTAAAGTCTTCTGCAAATCTGCAGTGCTTTGTTTGTGATTTAAATGCCAAAAAAAACGTATCTTTTAAAATAACCTGACCCCCTCAGAATCAACACTTTCTTAAAGTATAGTAACTTTAGTATATTTAATGAAACCAGGCAAAATTCAACCAGTATTTTAGTGTTTTGGATCTTTCATAGCTTCAAGTACACATAAAAACTGCAGCCAAATCAGTTTGTGGCACTTTGAGTGGGTGTAAATCTGAAGAGTAAATCTTGTTTCTATTGATCTGTTTTCTGATGATTCGCTGGAGAAAACTTTCAAATGTGCGCTTTGGGTAAACTTTCAAGGGACATCATCACCATGCGTGACAGGCGGCCTGTTAAAAAAAGAAGTTCTAGGATCCTTACATTTGGATACCAGGCTTATCTTCTAGTCGTGATTCCTTCTGCAGTTGAAATAACTTTTAACACTCTAAGCTGCATTCATACATTGGTTTATTCTCTCCCCTTTAAGCACTTTTTCACCATCTCACACACTTACACTCCAGTACTGTGTGGGAGCAGTTTGAGATTCAGTGTCTTGCCCAAGAACACTTCAACATGCCAACAGAGACGCATGAAGTTCACATGTTGTGTATAATGATTTAGAAATATAATAATACGACAAATTAACTTTCAGTGCATCGAGATCAGTGGTCCTCTCTTAGCGATATAAAATCAACCAAATATGAACCAGATGTTCCCACCGGTACCTCAGACTCACCTGACCACGTTTACATGTTATTTATGTTTGTCACCAATTTAAATTAGATTGGAGCTTCCCAGGAATACTGGATTTTGGGTGTATATTTGGCTCTGTTGCAGTTTTGAGCAGAGCTTAAATGTGTATATGTTCTTGTGAAATTTGAACAGATCAAAAATGCTGGAAAAATAATGCCATGATGCACATCGAGGGGCCTGTAACATTAAATATACTGAAGTTACTGTACTTTATATAAAATGAGCTGATTCTGAGGTGATCGAGTGGGAGTGAGAGTGGGTTGAATCCTTTTATAAAAATGTCTTTTCTTGGGTGTGGATGATTCTAGGTTTTAAATCTGATCTTGCTGTGATTATTGTGTTCGATTATATCGGACGAAAAAGCTGCACTACTTCAAGACCTCATGTCTTTCTTGTAAAATGAAATTGTGTAGAAGAAACTTTAAAAAAATGTTTAAAATCCCTTCTGTCTCGCCCTGTTTTTATTATTTTCTTGTTGGTGGTGTCGGTAAACACAGAGTGGAGGTAAATGTGAACGTTTCATGCTGCAGGAGAGGCTGCAGTAATTTAATTTCACCTCCTCTGTTTTAATAAAATGCAGCGAGGAGCTGGATGTGCCGCTCTGCCAAGTGCCGGACAGTTTCTTGGCAGGATGAGGAGGACTTATGAGCCATATCAAGATGCAGCAAGAAGAAGAAGGCACTCCTTAATCCTGCTTTTAGTCTCGCGGGCTCTGTTAGAAAGTCGATTACAATCCTGTTGGGGAATTCATCAAAATGAATCACCTGAATTTACAAAACTTAGGTGAAAAACAAGCAAGAACGCTGAAATAAGTGAAATTAGAAAGAATTGTGGCTGCTGGTTAAAACATATTGAATAAGTTTATTGTTTTTATTGTCGTTTTGTTGAATATTACAATTTCAAAGCTTTTTAAACTTATAATTTTAACAAGTTTGATCAAACGAATACATGCATGGTACACAGAGGAGGATATTTTCAGTGTTTATGCATTTATGTGTTTTTCTAACTCTTAAGCATCTCAAGTGGCTCAGATAACTTTAAAACAGATCACATATTTTTGCAAATGAGCCTTAAAAGCTCTGGATAGAAACTTTAGCCCTTGATTAAATGATTTTAAAACAATCACTTGTGATGTGATTGATAGTACAAAGAAAAGAGAAGTAGGGGTAACTCTGAAGGACGAGTGTGTGAATAGTGCTGTGAAGGTCAGGCAGGATCGTGGAAATCGAAGATGTGATGTGGAGTGGGCACCTTGCTAACCAAGCTTTATTTTAATAACGTAGCACTGCACCTGCTTGTCCAAATATGGTCACTTATGATGACATTAAAAAAAGACAACAAAAAAACGGCTTAAAACATAATTAAAGCTTAAAAATTGAGTTCAAAACAGCCAAGTTTGATGTCACGGTGGCCACGTCCATCTTTTATATACAGGCTATGGCAAACACTTGCGTGTGTTTTAAAAACAGAGTGTCAGAGAGGATGACGTTAGCCCCACTAAGTCGTCCTGTATTTTTTTTTTATTATGCATCTAATTTGCACATTTTCTAAATATTACGGACACCTCTTGCAGTTTTACGTCTGCTGTTTCTACTTAAACTCTGGATTTAATGATGCTTTTAATGATGTTTCCTTTAGTTTTTACAGTTTAGCGCCTCCTGTGGCTCGGATTATCCACCCATCCCTCCTCGCACTCTCTCTCTCTCTCTTTCTCTCTGCGTCTCTGTCTCTCAGCCTCACACTTCCTCTCCATCCCTCCTCCAGCAGCAGCTTCTCCTCAGACATGGAGAGCTGGTAGAAGCGCAGCGGCGGCGGCGGCTCTCCCCTCCTCGCTCCGATGGATGTTGGATGTACCATGCGGTCACCGCGGCTCTGGGCAGCTCTGTGCCTCCTCCTCCTCACCGCCTCTTGCCGGCTGTGCTCGGCCGCCCGACACGGTAAGAGAGTGGACGTGGATCTGACGCGATGTGATGGAGACAGATTCACTTCCCTCTTAATAAAGTGGATCTGTCCACCCTGCGACGCGCGGTGCGTAAATCACGATTTCCCCGAAGAGGAGCTCCCCGCTGTTAGTGACCGCAGCACTGAGCCGCCTCGCTGCACTTTGTGCTCACGTTTCACTTTCTTTGCAAAAATATTTTAAAGAGTGTAAAACCTATTTTCTTCGGCGTTTACTCAAATTCACAGCGGGGTTTGTGAAAGTTGCTCGTTGTCTCTACTGGATGTTTTTCAAATACGGTTGAATATAATCTGGATTCAGTGAGTTTTGCTCGGCTTTGACACTCCTGCATAAAAAAGTGCAGAAAGTGAATAGAAATAACACATGAAGTGCCTGTTCTTGCATTTCCGTTTGTCCGCCTCTGAGGTGTTTACCTCGGTGCTAAATTGCGTGAGTGACGCAAAAGCTGTGACCAGGGGTCGGCTCGGATGTGTCTGAGCGCTCAGATGAATCATTTTGTTGATCACAAACAAACAGAGCCAAAACAGCAGCAGCAGCAGCAGAAGAGGCAGAGAGAGAGAGGGAGGGGCGAGGGCTGGGTTGGTTTGTTTTGGTTCACAGTTAATTCGCCTTCACAAGGAGCCAACATGATGATGATGTAGAAACTGACAGGGAGTTATTTTCATGCAGGGGCCCTTTGAGCAAGATCCATGAGAATCCAGAGGAGCTAAAAGCCGGATCAAAACACCCTTCATTGTCTTTATGTGGAAATTTGTTTTGGCTACGCCGAACATCTGACTTGTAAATGCAAAGTAGAGTGACTGCCACAGTGTGAAAAATAGCAACAGCAGGAGTTCACACAGTCTGCTAACAGAGCAGTTTAAAAAGAGCCAAATGGACAAGACGTTTGCTGCCTGTTTTATTAAGCTGAGCATGAATCTAATAAAGCAGCAGTCAGAAACATTCATATCCAGACTGCAGCACCTGCAGGTGCTCAGGCTGTTTGCACTGTGATCTATAAAGATGTGTTTCATGAAGAAAATGATGTCTTTAAAAGCATTTAGGACTTAAGATCAGACATTATGAAGTCAGTAATGTGCATAAACGTACAGGAAACCATCAAAGCGAGCCTGCAGATCCTATTTTTCTCTACCGCTTTCTGTTTAGCCAGAGTTTTACTGACTGAGCTTAAGGCAGGGATTATATTCAGTTCGTGGACATGGAAACAAACCTGTCACGAGTAAGTAGTCATTGCAGCAGCAATATGTGGCCTCAAAATTATATAACAACATTTCAAGAAAATGTGTGATAATTACATATTTTCCATCCTTCTTTTCCAATGAGCTAGTGAAGCAGATAAGATAAGATGAGATAGCCTTTATTAGTCCCAGAGTTCAGAAATTCCCATTGTTCCAGCAGCAGAGGGGACGAGGCAGGAATAAATAAATAAATAGATGATACACTTCCTAATTTGAAATATAAATCTAATGAAACAAGGTGCCAGCAGCATTATACCCACAGGCACAGCCTAATTAAATATAAGTGCAAAAGTAGCCCAGGTAGCATTTTTCCTGTAAAGTTTCAGTAAAAGTATAAAATAACTATTAAATTAAATGTTGATGAAGTGTGTCGTGGATACCAGGGTTTGTATAGGTAAGTAAAACTAGAGGTGAAAACCATTTTGGTTGAAAAATGAATAAATGAAAAAAAAAAAACGTGTTTATTGACTGTTTGGTTGAGTAACATGTTCATGACACAGCAGTGTCTATCTGGGAATTAGCAAAAAACCTAATGTTAGCTGGCGTGGTGCTAATGTGGTGAAAAACAGTGGAATAGCATTGGTATGTCGCCGTGTTTGGACACGAGCGTCTTCTATTAGTTACGGGAGGGTAACATCAACCGAGTGTTTATTTATTGTAGTTTGCATGGTAATATTTTATATTTGTGAGTGTGAGACAGCACCCATTATCTGCTGCTAATGGTATGTGCCATATTCATTAGTGATGGACGGGTGGAGGTTGACAGGTAGATTAGGGCTTCATCTGTGGTAATACAGGCGTGGGTGTTGTTTTTAGATTTACTGGTCAATCTGCGCTCCTACCACAACCAATGGTCACGAGCTCTGAGTGGTGACTATGGATACAAATGATTGTGGCTGAAATGAGCTCCCTCCATAGGCTCACTGGGTTTTCCCTTAAGAGGCAGGGTGAGGAGCTCAGGCTGCTACTTTGCTACTTGTGTCAGAATCAGTCAGTGTAGGTGGTTCTGGGATTTATTTATAATGCCTCTCGGGAGCCTCCTTTTGGAGGTTTTCCAGGCACAGCTCAGACCTCGATGAGGAGATTATATATCTCACCTTGTCTGGGAATACCCCAAGACCCCTTAGGAGGAAGTGGAAGGTGTTGCTGAAAAAGAAAAAAATGGAATAGCTGCTTAGCCTGCTGCCACCACGATCCAACTTTGAATAGGTCAGGATGGATGGATGATGCAAAGTTCCAATCTTGCTTCCTGTGCTTCTCATTTAAGAACCACTCAAAAACCTGCCAATTAAGCTGCTTTACCCTATGTGCAGTCACTGCAAATCGCCTTGCAACCCGCTTCCACTCCAGTGCCTGATTTTTGTGTTGTTTCTGACTTAATCATTGTCATATCTGTCGTCACTGATGTCGACAACTGGGAAACTCAATAGGACCAGAGAAATGATGGACACCCCTAAAAGATAGACAGATGTCCATAAATTGGCTCCAAACAAAAACAACTCTATAAAATGTGCTCTTGTAGGAGCATTTTGAGCTTCCTGAGCTCAGGCCTCTTTGTGTCTGATCACAAACGAATAACAACCGAAAGCTTCATTCAAACATTTTCAAAACTAGTGCTGGAGTATTTTGGTCAGGTAGACGCTGAACCGTAAATAAAATCTGTACATAAAGCAGCTTTAAAAACAGCTCATTCTGACAGTTATGACTCATAACCAACCCCTCCGTCAGCTCCGTCTGCTTGCTGTAATTACAACTGCTCGCCGTTTATTTGATGCACTAAACACGACGCAGTGTTTGAGCTCCGCGGGCAGAGAGCAGCGCAGAATGTTAAACCTTTCTCATCTCACCGTCCGCAGGCTTATTTATCTTCTCATAATCCAGGAAAAGGACATCATGCAGTTTGACTCATGACACATACCCCTGCAGAGATCCTAAATGCTGTGTGATGTTCCTGAAGGGATCTGTTGAGTTGATGGATTTATGTTGTGGTTTTATAGATTTTTCTAAAAAGTTTGTAGACAACGATAAGTGGTGCTGTGCATGGATGCAATGAGCTATGATTTAAACGTAAATTTCAATATTGTTGTTAGTGACTCTTTCTTCAGTTAGAAAAGAAAACATAATGTGTATGTTGTAGCATGCGTGTATTAACTGGCACCTTCTTAACTCAAGGGATGAACCAATGTTGTGTCCACACATAACAGATCATCTAAATTGTATCTTTAGACTCTTTGTTACTGGCAGCCTGTCACAAAAAAGTGATTCCCAAAGAGCTATTAGCTGAAAACCTGGCATATATCAGCATGGTGAGCAATGTGTCCTTAGAAAACACAACTGTTCACTGAAGCATCATCAGAAATGGTCTCAGTGGAAGGGCGACTGTCAGGAAGCTTTCTTATGGAAGGGAAACAGGAAGAAAAGGCTGAGGTATGAAAATTACACAAGAACTGGACTGAAAATCAGTGGAAACAAGTCTGATGGGGTGATGAATCCAAGTTTGAGATTTGACATTTTGATCCATCGTCTGGAAAGCATCTGGTTGTCAACAGCTTCATCTTTCAGCCTGACAATGATCCCAAACACACTGCCAATGCAGTAAAATCATCCCTGGATAGAAAAACACACAGTGGAACTCTATCAGTCATGGATTGGCCTCCCCAGAGCCCGGACTTCAACATTATTACAAAGGTACTCTGTATGAAAATAAACATGATGATAGATTTTTCACTCTACTTCCATTTTGTTAGTAATTTAAAAAAGTAAACAATGGCAGTTATTTTAGCTCTGTAGCTTCGTACCTGTAACAAAAAAGGGTATTCTTGTAATGAAAATGTACCAGATAATCATAAATATACTCCTGCAGAGTCACATGTGGTAAAGGTTTTAATTATTTACACCTAATTATAAAGCTTCGGTGTCCCCCCAGAACAGCTGTAGGAGGTAGCTTGGGAGTGGCATCTCTGTTTACACAGTTAGCCCCATGATCCAGATCTGAATAAGCAGCAGAAGATGGATGGATGGTATTAAATGTACTTCTATATGCATTTGACAGACAAGAGGTTCAAACAGTTAGAAGAAAACTGTGCATTGCACAAACAAGAGCAGAAATAAAATAGCAAAGACACTGAATGTTTTCAGAGATACTGCTGGAATTATAGTTTGCAGACTTAAAGTCAGAGTTACTGTGGCTGCACCACCCAAATTAGGCAGAGAGAGGAAGTTATCACTGGCAGATCACCAAAACCTCCACGTTACTACAAAAAAACTTTCAATTGGACTCTGTGGCAGCAGGTTTCAGTTCATACAGTAAGGTGCTCACTACATGCTAAAGATCTCTATGTCTTCCTGTTAAAAGGTAGTTTTTTCTTCCCAGTCTCGTCAAGTGCTTGCTCATAGAAGGTCATCTGATTGTTGGGGTTTTCACTCTAATATTATAGGGTCTTTAACTTACAATATAAAGTGTGTTGAGGTGACTGCTGTTGTGATTTGGTGCTACATGAATAAAACTGAATTGAACTGAACCATCTGGATAAGCCAGTGAAGTGTTGCAATAGCTTTGTGTGTCTCTGCAGTATATCAAAAGAGGAAGAATGAAGAGCTTTCCCTCTGCAGTAAAGCATGGTGCTGGCTCAGTGCCACTTTGCTCCTGTCATGTAGCACCCAACATGAGTTTCTGAAAGAAAACATCACACCATCAGAGCTCAAGCTCGAGTGTCGATTTACCCCAAGCTTACCTCGA